AAAAAATTTTAAAAATCGTATATAAAATAAATCTAAATTTCACGATGATCCAATTTCACGATAATCCGTGACATTTATTAATGGATAAATTAAAGCAAGTACAAAAACCAAGAACATAAATACTTATTTATGTATTATTCGCATTAATCATTTTATTTAGTGAGTGAGTATAGAATTAAACCGGTAAAACAAATTCATAAATCAAGAACATAAATACTTATTTATATTTTATTCGCATTAATTTAGTCTGTAAGTATAAAGAACATTTATTATTGAATAAAGTTAAAACAGCAAAGCTACTTCACAATCAAGAACATAAATACTTATTTACATTTCATTCTTAGTAAAAGTCAGTGAGTATAAAGAACATTATTAATAGATATAATTAAAAAAATTAACCTTCACAAATCAAAAGCATAAATCATTACCGTTTCATCCATCTTAATTTAGTCGGTAAGTATAAAATTTATTTACTTCGATATAAAGGTTAAATAGCATAGCTGATAAAACAAAACATTATATGTTATATTGATTATAAAGCTTATTAGAATATGGAAAATGTGCGCATTGTAATAAAAATAACACGAATAAAGCATGGTGTGTATCATGTGACCCTGACATAGCAACAAGGTGGACAAGTAGAAATAAGTCTATTGATGATTGCATGAAAGAATTCCAACTTAGAACTCATGCATATGAAGATATGATTGAATGGATTCCATTTAATAGATTATCTAATGCTATAGAAATCGGTAAAGTAAGATTTAGCTCTGTATATTCAGCAACCTGGTTGGATGGCATACGAAAAGTTGATGGTGATAATTATAATTATGTAAGAGCGCGAGAACCAAATAGCATCGTTAAACTTATCTCATTGACCAGTTATAAGGGAGATAGTGATTTTTTAAAGGAAGTAAGTTAATTTATTACTTTGACAATTTATCTAATAGGTTTATGAACTAATTCATTGTTTAAACTTTTAAGTTTAAAATTTTTATGAATTGTAAATTAAATAATTGTATTAAACTTGCAATATATGGAATAACTCAAAATACAGATACAAATGAATACTTAATGGTATTTCAGTATGTTGATTGTGAGAGTCTCCACAGATATTTAAGTGAAAATTTTAGTAAACTTACTTGGCAAAGTAAATTGCAAATACTTGTAGATATTTCACAAAAGTTTGATAAGTTTCACAGATGTGGATACGTTCATACTGATTTCCATAGTAGTAACATTTTGATATACCAACGTACTAATGAAAATGTGCAAACTTATATTGCTGATTTCATATTATCTACAAAGAAAGATGTAATTGATTCAGGATTATCTACAAGAAAAGATGTAATTGATTCAGGAGACAAAATTTATGGAGTCATGCCCTATGTTGCACCTGAAGTCTTATCAGGCTTGCAGAATTATACACAAGAAGCAAATATTTATGGTTTCGGTATTATTATGGTAGAAATGTCAACTGGACTAAGACCTTATGATGGTCATGAATTTAATATGGAGCTTGTAGTAAATATTTGCAAAAAAGGATTACGACCAGAGTTTGCACCTGAAACTCCTAAATGCTATATTGAATTGGCTGGAAAATGCATGAATTCCGATCCACAAAAACGGCCTAGTGCTGATAATATTTATTTGGAAATCGAAGATTGGCTTAAGAAGATAGCTAGTTCGGACGATAATGGAATTAAAAGGCAATTTTTAGATGCAGATAAAGTTATTAAATCATCCCCAATACCAAAACATCCCGACGAAATGTATATTGGTAAAACTATTAACACAAAATTAATTTCAAAGGCGATTGAAGGTGTTTATTTTAGACTAATATATTAAAATTATGTAGTATTAATTAATGCTATTTGTTTATTTAGATTCGATTCAATCTGAGGAATATGCTGAGCCAGGTCGAGCTTTGGGCCCAAATAAAAGCCCAAAAAATATTCTTGAGCCCAAGCTCGAATAACAGACTAGGCCTGGTTTATTTTAAAATTTATCCCGGTGTTATGCTCAAAATTTTCATTTTTTTTTTTTATATATTTAGTTTTACCTTATAATCGTTATTATTTGAGTAAGAATCGTGGCAAGGTCTTCATGGTTTAGATCTAAATAAGGTTAGAAGCCTTTAGCGAAGGATATAGGTTTTTAATAAGGTTAATAATCCTTTATGAAAGAAAGAGGTCGGCAATTGAGGAATCAAAGCGCGAAGTATTGAGTTTCGGCTTACGAATGAAATTAACTATTACTCGAAATATTTGTATCTGAAATTCAAAGTTTAGATTTATTTGTATTAAAAAGAAACGATAATAAAGAGAAAATTTCTAACTCTTAAATTTGTAAAACTTATTTATACTTAAATTAGACTATATAGCTTTACTTTACAAGCGTGTAATTACCAGGAACGAATGCATAAAAGTGCGTGGAATTGGTCTGCAAAATCTTGAATTTTATTTGCCCGAATGACTTGCGCATAATAACGCACATGAGCGTTATTTCGAACCTTTTTTAAAAAAAATTTGGGGGGTTGACTAAAATGACGCCAAAAATAACGTGCCCCTTAAATATAAAATTTTCAGGTCACGTTCATTAGGCTTCCTCTTGTAACCCAAATTCGTCAAAATGATTCGAAATACCACGCAAGCGCGTCCCGAAATAAAGGCAAGGTCTCAAAATAACGCGCAAATACGGTATTTATTTTCATGTATTATGTCATCACGTTGTTGCTATCGGCGAGAGCTATCCTTACACTAAGCCAGTCCGACCTTATAGTAAAATAATAACAATAAAGTATGGGCTGAGGGATGTTTACACAAATAAAAGTACCCTTTTTTGCATGTAATGCTTATTTTCGGGGGTGCTTATTTTCGGAACTATACGGTATGTGATGGTTAGTAATGCAAGGCTGAGACAATATGCAGAAATAAACGACTGTACTTGTTTAAACCTAAAAATCCACATAACCCGAATCCCATGTGGTAAATCTCACTGAAAAAAAATCCTATTTTGGCTGTCATAATCCCAAGCCCCATCCCAAATCTTCTCCCAAAACGCATCTCAATTCGCAGGTTAATTCATATCTTAAATCCTAAACCCTATCCAAACCTTATACATTAGGAGGTTTCAGAATTAACTTTTTTTCAAAATAAGTGAGAGTTTAAAAGGTTCTATTTTCTTTTTTAAAGTTCCGATCAGAAAATTAAATAGGCATAGCCGATGATGAAATTTAGCTTTTTTTTGGTAAACATTCATCGGTAAACGATTATGTAAATAAGTACATACTTTGAAAAAAATAGAATCTGTAAGTTGCTTATTTTGAAATAAATACGGCACTTATTTTATTTGAAATCGGACGCCGAATCATTAATTCTGAAACCCCCTATTTGATAGACTTACGTATATAAATCAATTGCCCGGAAAGCTTGTTTATACACTTTTAAAGTACTTTTTAAGAACGCAACGTTTCACAACAAAAAAAAATCCTGTGAAGGCTTTTTCTAGCTCTAAACAAACGCAAATATTCACTGATAAAATTAATCCACAATCCCAAAACTTTACTTAAAAGCATGTATTTTACTATTCATTGCTAGTACTAATCATATTAACAATAATAAATGTGTTTGTTTTTTCAATCATATATTATCGTTATGACAGCCAAGCATTAGAATTTAGTAAGGAGTGGAGTTTGTAAAGGACAATAATAAGCTAATGCACTGATTCCGCCAGTTTGAACATGGTAACAAACACTTCCAATGATTGTACAAACTTCTTTGTCAAGAAAAATGCTGGCTTCCGATTTCATTTTGTGCTGTGAAAGAAGTTTTCTGATTATGGTAAAATTTTAGTGGATGATAGGCAAATTTTGAGTAAAAATCGTTAAAACTTCTAACCATTTTACAAACAATAAAATTTCAAATTATTTGTATGTAAAAAACACTTTTTAAAAAAGTTGTAAGTATTTTACTAGTCAGATTTTTTTAATTTTATACGTATGCAAATAGATAAACATAATAAATTTGGAATTGAAATTTGACTTTTACGTAATACCAGACGTTACTTAATGTTGATAACCCTTTTTTTTTTAGCAGACTTGATATTTTAACGATCTCCAGTTCAAAGTGATAAATAAATCAGGCTTAATCACTGTTTATGATAATCGCACAATAATCAATAATCAATGCCACTCGTGGCTTAAAATATATATATATTTATTCTCTTTAAATTAGTACTTATTGTCTTAATTGCAATGACATTATGATAAAATGGAAACTGAATCTTCTAAGAGTGCGCATAAGAAAGAAGAACCCAAAGAACTTGAACTTGATATATATGTTGACCCACATAATGGATATCCTATTACGCAAATTGATTGTTCACCTAAGATGAAGTACGTTGCTACATTAAGTGAATTTGATAAATCCATGGTTTTGTGGTCTATTGGTTCAGAAAGACAGAGTTTGCAATATGAAAACACGATTTCAAATATAAATATTGACATCGGACTGGAAACTTCAACAACATTTACAGTTTCAGATGATGGGTTTGTTGCAACGAAACTTCGTAGATTAAATCCTCGTAACTTTGGTAGTTAATTTTGCAATAAAAGTTGGTATTATTGTTTTAATTTGAATTATAAGATTGACTAAACTTATTATGTCATCATTAAGAAATTTACAGCCTCGAAAAAAAAACAACCAAAATATCCAATTTTCCTAGTTTACATAAGAATATTAGTCACTTATCCTTTATTAATAATGGAAACCTAGTGATGATCAGCACTAACGAACGCAAAGCATACATTCTTTATCCAAACGAAAACGTCGAATGGATATTCAAATCAATGATTGAACTGAAAAATATTAGTACTTCAGATAAAATATACATATCTCCCAAAGGAAAATTAATCTTTTTTAAAAAACAGACTCACAAGATTATGATATGGAATTTAAAAGGTTTGTCGACTGAAGCACAAATTTTGTTGGATTGGAATTTTAATTTCGAGTGCGTTGGGTTAAGTGACGATGAAGAACTAATAGGAATATCTGCAAGCAGTTCCAAATTAACGTATCTATACATTTTTTCATCAACAACCGGGATGAATATATCAAAACGTAAGTTTCGTTCAAGCTAATGTATTCTGACAATATAATGTATCATTAAGATTAGGTTGCTAGACTATAATAAATTGTTACTTAACATTATAGATACTTATAAAAAATCAGTAATGATTGATGGAATCCATTTTATTGCTCCTGATTTTGGTGAACGTATACTTATAACATCACATATACATGATGGCTTAGAAAGGATTAAAATGGACCTTAATGTTCATAAATTTCATGATAAAGAATTAACTTTCGATTATGATTTAATGGATCCCTACAATTTAATGAATCCTGTCAGTGCTAATAAACTCTTTAAGCGCTTAAAGGCCAAAGTTAAAACTCCATACATAATTAAATCAGACAGCATTATTTATGCAAATGAGGGACAATTATTTATAGAAAATTTGGTAATTAAAGATAACTGGATTGATTATTTGAGAAATGATTTGAATGATTATAACAAAATTTCTACACCTCCAGGTAAAAGAGACATTATTGATTTTATAAGAAACATTGACCGTAAAAAACATATTCAAGGAGAAGAGACATATAAAGGGTATTTAACAAAATGGACCTTAAGTTGTAAAGATGTTACGTTTACTCTTGGAGTATCTCAAGAAAAATCTAAAGTATCTGGAGAAAATAAGCGGGAATCAGTACATAAAAAAAAGCAGCAAAAAGCAAATATGTATGTAAGAGGGTGTAAAGTTCTTAAAAATGATGATCTTGTCATGGTTACAGAAAAGTATGTAATTCTCTGGACATCTAACCCACTTAAGGGTATAAGTGTGCATTATATTTGGGGTGTCGGTAAAGACGTTGGTAAAGAAATTAATAAAGATGTTAAATATTGGAGAGAGATATTTAATGATTCTTTGCCAGAAAGGTTTCTTCCGCAATCTGATTTCGATGAAATTATCAAAGAGGCTACTAATATTAAATCGGATAAAGATACTACCAATTTATTTGATTTGTTATTAGAATATTATATTGAAGAAAATTTTTTTTTAGCACGTTATGGTAAAATACTTATGGAGAATTTTTTAATTTTAAATAGGGACTGGTGGGTTGAAAAATTATTCGAGAATTGTGTTAAAAACTGTTTGTATGATAAAGATAGTTACGATAAAGATAGCTGTGATTTACAATCAAATGTTCAGTCATTAAGTATTATAGCACAATTTTATTCAGAATTAATTCAAAAGAATCCTGCAATCATGTATAAATTTTTATCGCAGATGACATTTGTGGTTCCTTCCGTTGAGAATTATAATGCATACTATAATTCTTTATCACCATCACCTCATCTTCATTATTATAGTTCATATTATTACATACATGAAATGTCCCACATTAATAATGCATTTTTTATTATTTCTAAATATTGGCTTGCCTTTAAAAATAATTGTAAGACTTTCATTCAGAATCAACTAAAACCACTCGAAAATTACCTTATACAACCATTTAAAAATCACCTTATAAAACCATTTGAAAATTATTATAGAACTTACTATTTAAATAATAATGCAACAATTAAATTATTATTTCCTTTACCCTATTTTGTTAATTATCCCAAAGATTTCAAAACTTTAAAGGAGCTATGGAAACCTGAACCTAGTCCTTTCACAAAATCAATTGATTTAGAATTATACAAAACTTGGAACGGTGAAGCACTTTTAAGTTTTAAGTGGAATACTTATGGAAAATATTATTATTTATTTATCTGGATGATTCATACTATTTTTCTTTGTTGCTTTACTGTTGTAGCAACTTTATCAAACGAAATTTCTTGGACTCATCAGCAAATGCTTTTAATATTCACTATTATACTCGGTACCTGGCAGTTTATTTTTGAGGTTCGCCAGTTTATTTATTCTCCCATACTTTATAGTACTTCTCCATGGAACTATATTGGTAATTATGAGTTTTATTATTGCTTATATTTTATTTTATGCTATTCTTATTTTATTTTTTACTATTAAGATTTGGGGGCTATTTTACTTCCAACTATAACTTCATTTATATGGCTTAAGAATTATGCTGTTCCAACTTGGGCAATTATCTTTTCTACATTGTTACTTGAATTAAAATTTCTCACTTATTTCCGGGCGATTGCACATATTGGTGTTTATTTTGCAATGATAATTGGTGTAGCTGAAAGGGCCTTTTTATTTTTAGTTATATTATCATTTATTGTATTAGCTTTTGCTCATTCTTTACACCTTTTACTAAGACCCACTACTAATATATCTTTGGATCAACCAAATTATTTGAATGATCCAAATAATCCTTGGAATTTGGTAACAAAATATTATACGGTGAATCCGGATGGCTATGTTAATAAAACTCCATTTCTTGTTGAACCTCCAAGTGAAAGTACAAATATGTTTTCAACACTAATATCCGCAATTTTGGCAGTTTATATCATGCTTACAGGTAATAATCCAAGTTATGTTTAATAACGACTTTCATTGTAAAAATACTAAAATTTTTTAAATTATAATATTCAATAGGAGATACATCATCTTTGTCTCCTTGGGCTTTAAATGAGAATATAACTTTAACTATCTTAGTAGTTATATTTTCGTTTTTTACAACAATATATTTAATGAATTTATTTATCGGGTTACTTAGTAATGCAATAAATGAGACCACCAGTAGAGAATTATTTTTAATTCAAAGGGCTGAGGTTGGTCTATTTGGATTTATTATATTTGTATAACGCCTTAATTAATTCAATACATATTTAAAAGATCTTGAAGAAAAGTTTAGAAATTGGTATAGCTTATTAAGTTGCTATATAACAATGTACTAACTGTACTAAATAATATCTTAGTATACCAAATTGTCTAAACTTGCTTTAAGATATAGTCAAATATACAGATAAAATTAAAATTTGTTTTAATTAAGGCTTTTATTTGCAATATTATAGATTTAAAAATTTTATAACCGCAAGTTTATTAATATTTTGCAGGTTTTAACTGAAATCGAATTATTTTACATGTTACCATATCAAAGAAGAAAATATACCTGGTTTCCGACTATTATGTGAGTATAATTAATTGTCAACCATAATTCATTATATAATTTTAATTATATACGTGTTATTTTTATATGCTTAGCTTTTACGAAGTACATATACATAAACTTCGTGATTTAATTAAAGATATTCAAAATGGTAATTGGACAACTTTAGCGAAACCATATATTCCTCCTTCATTTTCAGAATTTATTTATATAGAAGATAAATCTGAAATCAGTCCAATTGAAAAAAGGTTAGAAGATTTAACAAACAATGAAATTAGACCGATTAAAAAAAGGGTGGAAGATTTAACTAGCGATAACTCTGAAATTAGTCAAATCAAAAAAAGGGTGGAAGATAATAACTCTGAAATTAGTCAAATTAAAAAAGAGTTAAAAGATTTATCTAACTTATTTGGAGATTTCAAACATGAGGTTATATCAAAATTAAACGAATTAAAGCCAAGTTAGGTTATAAAAATTATTTTATTCTATATTTATTTTATAATTTTTTTTGTCATTATTTAAATAAAATTTAAAATTTCAACTAAAGCGTAAATACAAAACAATTTGAACGTAATTTAATTGAATATGTATTTTAAATCTGTCCAGAAAGATTGTCAAGTTTACTGGTCTAATTGTACAGTATATCCACCCAGCGCAGTGTCCATTATTGATCTTCCTGATTTTGAAGAATTTAATGCAAGATTCGTCCGTAGTTTTTTTTTTTTAAAAAAAATATTGTCATAAAAATACCTGATCACTATATTAAGATTATGAGGAATTTAATAAAAGTACCCTGATCCAGAAAGGAGGACATCAATAGGGGAATTAATGCCCGTTACTGTATTCTATATTATTAACTTAAATGAATTGATGGCAAATAATTTAATATATACCCCACACTCTCCCCCCTTTACCCAAGAGAGAGGGTAAAAGGGAGAGTATAGGGGTGTAAAAGGGGTATAAAGGTGTAGGTGGGTAGGGGAGGGAGGGAGTGGGGTATATATGAGCTCCTTTCTGTCAGCTCCCTAACAACTGGATTTTTTATAGAATGTCTCTTTTATAGAGTGCCGATTGAGTTTCATATACCTATATCAATGTCTAATCCTCTTATTATAGATATTTATAAGGTTTTATGTGATTTAAAAGAACTCAAAATTTCATAAAGGTTGCCTTTTTTATTTTTCTTTTAATACACAATTCTTGAGTTTGAGTTACCTCTTCGATTCCTCTATTAGATTAATGTAAGTTATTTGTAACCTTTTCTAAATTAAAAAGGAAATTTACTTTTTTGTATTAGCTAAGCTGGCCCTAAAGTATAAAAAAACGGAGTTGGTAAATAGGATTCAAAATTCCCTCAAAATCGATCAAATCTCCAACCCTTTGATTTAAAACAAAAATACATCTACATCAACTATTTGATTCAAGTTCAAATTCCTAATACTGCAAACACATATTTTCCAAGAAATAATCTATCAAAAAAGAGGTGCGAAGAGATATAAAAAGATCATTATCAAATTAACTACACATTTCACTAATTCTCTGAAGTTAGGCATTTATTATGCATTAATATAGTGTCACAGGTTAAAAATGATATTTCTGATAAAAAAAGTCAAGACGCACAAAGAAAAGAGGCTGTGAAAAATGCCATAAGGCTTGTTAGCTGAGATAATAAACAGAGATAAACAGATACGAAGCCAAAAATCATGATAACAGTTATCGAAACAGCGCATGAACTCTAAGCTAACCTTACAGAAATGTTTGATAGTATGATCATTGATTATACGAAAAATAAGTTATTTAAAGAACGTGACTTAGATGTGATTGGTTACGGCACTTAAGTGTAAGAAAGGGGCTCAAAGAACTAATTATAAAGAAATATTCCAAATCACAATAGTCACGCCTCTGACAAGTTGCCTTACCTATTTCTTTGTGTTAGTTTACCTTATCTTTGTACATTCATTTCACCCCGTGAAATGATCATTGATTCTTGGTTCACTTTGCATATTATATATAGAAATCATAAGTTTGCAGGGTAAGTGATGCTAGATAATCAAGGTAATAAATATTATTTTGTATTACGATAAGATATATATGTTCTTCGTCATTTTCAATGTATTGCTTCGAAAGTGACGTATGTCATATGTGTACAGCACGTTATTTCAAAATCCGTGAAAATTTATCAAAAAGAATATATATGTTAGACGTCACTTTCAAATTTTAAAGTATCGGTATGGTTTTATCGGCAAAAGCATTGATCTTGACCCACCTGTTTCTTGAACCATCCTGGATAAGGTTGCTGGCCGTAAGTAGCAATTACGGACATTACGAGCTACAACCTAGGTTGCAACCCTAATTACAACTTATACCAAAATTTTTAATATGTCGTAATGGTCATAATTGTCGTAATGCCGTAATGGTTGTAATTACCATAATCGTTGTAATTGCTGTAATAGATTGTAATTGCCACAACAATTATAAGTGATCGATATAATATGAATATTATGAATCATAATATATCATAATTTATGAGCGCAAATCAAAAACTTAAATATGTGATGGTTATATTAATATAATGGTATAGTATGTAATTAGAAAGAAACCTTGATTATAAACTGAATTTGGTTTGTAATAGAGTTAATACCTCAATCCGGATATATTTTTTATATCCGGATTAATCCGGTTTTATCATAGTATAAATCCGGATA